TATCCTTCAACCCAGAAAGAGTCCTTTTCTAAGAATTTATCCTACAGATATATTTAACCATGTGCAAAATGACATATAGCGAAGGTAGTGACTTCAGCTTTGATATATCAAAAGACTAGAAACAATCTATATGGCCATCATGATGTGACTAGTTAAATAAATTATCATATATCCACTCAACAAAATATTATACAGTCATAAAAATTGAGAATGCTCTTTTACTAACAACGTGGAATTATTTCAAATGTAAAATAAAACAAACATGTGAAGAGTATGCTACCATCCATATAAAAAGAAAGGTAATATCCACGTATGTATTTGCTTGTGTATGCATAAAATACTTCACGAAAGATATACATATACAATTCAGATAGCACAGTTTGCCTTCAAAGATGGGGAGCCGGATGCCTAAGGAACAAAACAGTGTGTGTGTATGTACATAAGGAGATTTTCAGTAACTTTTCAGTTTTCAAACCATTGTGTTTTCTATTCAAATATACATCAAAATATATATCAAAAATATTTTTTAAATAAGGAATGAATGAGTCATAAGATTGTGAGAAGAACAGCGTACAGAGACCTGAATTCTAGTCCTGAATTTACCAATAACCATTTACCTCCTCTTCCGATCAATCTCCCTCTTCCCCGCTTTATCAAACTCCATGCATTTTTCACCAAAGTATGCAGGTTTAAAAAGGTTCATATGTGAGGATTCTGAACAATTACATGTCTCTATATAAAAGGCTGGGTTCATGTTCCTGTTGAAACAAATTCTGGCCAAATAAGCAGCAACATTGTAGGGCGCATAGCGCGCTGAAAAGGAGTAATTTCTCTTCCCGCCCCTAGATGGGGTCAGTAGCTATGATCAGGTACATTTGCCAAGTTAGAAACCCGCTCTAGAGAGGAGGCGGGTGGGAGGATGGGTTAGCCTGGTGATGGATATTAAAAAGGGCACGCTCTGCATGGAGCACTGGGTGTTATGCACAAACAATGAATCATGGAACACTACATCAAAAACTAATGATGTAATGTATGGTGATTAACATGACAATAAAAATTTTTTTTAAAAAGAAAGAAAAAGAAACCCGCTCTAAGGGACACAGGGCCTTAGAGTCAAAGAAATGTAGAGCTAGGAAGAGCCAGGGTGTTCAGCCCAGCTTCCATATTTTACAGATGTGGAAAATGATGTCCAGCTAGTCAGAGTGTGAAGACTCACGTGGTGAACACTGGAACCCACATCTCATTATTCCCAACCAGTCCTCTTCACCAAATACTTTAATAAGCCAAAAACCTAAAACTCAGAATTTGGGGAAACTAAGTTCAATCAGGCTAGGCTTAGTTATCACTTTACACTTTTCTAAAGTTACATGACTATGGGCAGGATGGGTCTCTAAATATTCTACTAAAGGCGATTGTTAAGTTCACAGAACTATTATGTAGTTCTTTCAAGTACCTATTTTTAAATAGTCAACAAATTTCCTCATTTTAGTGACTAAAATATTGCACAACACATGACTCGTTCAGAAATAAAACCTCTCCCCCATTTTCATTTCCCATTTAACATAGGCAATTCCTAACTTGAAACAATATGGGTTAACTTTTTGTTGTTGAGATGTTTGGAAATGACCTAAATGTCCAAAAATAATGGATCATTTAGTAAATCTGAGGCAGCTCTTGTGATGATATTTTTAATAATTTCAAGTAGGCAACACAATGTAGTCGTTTTAGAGCCATGCTGCCTGGCCACGTCCTGGTCCACCACTTACCAGCCCTGTGACCTCGGGCAAGGTTCTTACCCTCTTCCAGCCTTGGTTTCCTTGTTATCAAATAGGGATAAAAGTAGTACCTACCTCACCGGGTTGCTGAGAGAAGTCAATGAATCAAAGTGTAAAGTGCTCAGAATGGTTATCAGTATATAGTATCTGAGGGCAATGAAGCTCCTTAGTTCTCCCTTAAGTGTTGGCTCCTTTAAAAAAGGACGCTTGCTAGCCTGAGGTAATTTGTAATTGGGCCTCCTCAACTCAGAATAAAGCAGGAGAAAAGTCAAGCAAAATGTTTAGGGAGGCTAGCCTGCTACAGTGAGTGGTCTCTGAACTGTTTTGAAGTTCGCAACTTCTACCCTTCCTTCACTTCTTTTTTTTTTTTAAAGATTTTATTTATTTATTTGAGAGAGAGAGAATGAGAGACAGAGAGCACGAGAGGGAGGAGGGTCAGAGGGAGAAGCAGACTCCCTGCCGAGCAGGGAGCCCGATGCGGGACTCGATCCCGGGACTCGATCCCGGGACTCGATCCCGGGACTCGATCCCGGGACTCCAGGATCATGACCTGAGCCGAAGGCAGTCGCTTAACCAACTCAGCCACCCAGGCGCCCCTTCCTTCACTTCTTAACTACAGGGTACTCTACACACGTTTTTTTCTCCAAGATGGAATGGTGGTGACTGGCAGAGAAGGATGTTAGGGGACAAAAGCAGCCAATTATAAGAACAAGTTTCTTAAAGTATGGTATTTGCTTTCCTGTTCAAATCTGTTGGAAGGGAGGAAGTCAGAGAAATGAATGGCCCTCCCATTCTTCTGCAATTTGAGTTCAGTTCTCTTACTTCAGAGCAAATGCAGAACTATTGGGGGCAGACCTTGCATTCTCTCCTTTCTTCTTTACTCAAATGCGCCTTTACTCCTACTAAGTGTCCAGGGTGAGATCATTCTTAAAGCACGGATTCCTGATTACCCCTTGCAGCCAAGGCTAGACCTGTGGAAAGTACTTAGGGCTGCTGGTGAAGGGAGCCATCCTTGACCTTCATGGAAACCTGGGCGACAGCTACTTCTCAGTCCTGTAGTAAAACTCTATCCTTTCTGTTTCTACAAGTCTTCGGATCACTGTGGAAATCTTTATTGCAAATAAACCCTCCTTTCTCTTGATCTTTGGACAACAAGGCTACGGTTGATCAGAGAGGCTACATGAACACAGACTGAGGAGGGCAAGGTTCAAGCATATCCCGTGACTTGCACAGTAAGGGCTCAAAATGTGCTTGTTGAATAAACAATACAGGTATAAGGAGGTATGCTTGTGTTCTGGAACAGTAACCATTTATTGTATTTAATATAATAGCCATAATCACATCAGGATCTTATAAAATCAGCAATCTCAGTCAGATTAAGCAAAAAGGATACAATTTTATGGGCCTGAGATGACTAGTGGATACAGGAGAGGCACAAGACCAGTATTACCACTTTCTAGCTGTGTGATTCTTAACATGTAATCGAACTTCTACAAGTTTATTTCCTTATCTGTAAAAGGGGATTAAAAGTTACAGCTACCTCATGAGCTATTTCAAGAATTAACTTTAAAAACAGTGAAGCACCGTGCAAATGTTCTGGATATTCTTAGTTATCTAACATAAGTGCACACTCTACGAGTATACATATCTCTGTTAACTACAGAGAAGTTGTTAAAGAAAAGCTTTTAGAGATAATGTGAGCTATCACTTGACATCTGTCAGACTGGCTAGTATCAAAAGAACAAGAAATAACAAGTGTTGGTGAGGATGTGGAGAAAATGGAGCCCTCCTGCCCTGTTGATAGGAATGTAAATTGGTACAGCCACTAGGGAAAACAGTATGGATGTTCCTCAGAAAATTAAAGCTAGAGCTATCACATGACCCAGCAATTCCACTTCTGGATACTTATCAGAAGAAAAGGGCAAACCAATCTGAGGAGATCTATGCACCCCTATGTTCTCTGCAGCACTCTTTACAATATAGCCAAGATATGGAAGCAACCTAAGCGTCCATCCATAGGTGAATAGATAAAATTAGATGTCATATATATGTATGCATGTAGATATAGATATAAAACACAGAATATTACTCAGCCATAAAAAAAGAATGAAATCCTACCATTGTCGCAACATGGATGGAACGTAGAGGGTATAATGCGAAGGGAAGTCAGAGAAAGACAAACACCATATGATTTCACTTATGTGTGAAATCCTAAAACCAAAACAATGAACAAACAAAATAAAACAAACAGATCCATAGATACAGGAAACAGTTGGTTTCCAGAGGGGAGAGGGGTTGCGGGGCAGGTGAAAAGGGCAAAGAGGATTCAGAGGTACAAACTTCTAGATAAAAAATAAGTCATGAAGGTATAATGTACAGCATTGGGTATATAGCCAATAATATGCTGTAATTTTGTATGGTGATAAATGATAGCTAGACTTATGGGGATCATTTCATAATGTATAAAAATATAGAATCACTATGATGCACCCCTGAAGATGATAGGATATTATATGCCATTATACTTCATTGATAAATAGATAATAAAGGTGCTCAGAAGCACTGAACACAAGGTTAAATCAGAAAGGAGTATCAGCAGCCCAAGAAAAATCAACCTGGGTAGGTTCGCTGTGCTGAGAACTGGAAAAATGAATCTGTGATCGGACAGTCCTAACCTAGGACCGCTGGGTTTGCAGGCGAGCAGACTCTTTTCCCTTTACCTGGCGCCCCGCCCCTGCGTTCCCGGCTCCCCTCCTCTCTCCGCTCCACTCCGGGGTGCCCAGCCCGCTCCCCCTCCTTCGCCCGTCTTCAGGGCCTCTCTGCGGAGTCCACTCTGACCCTTCGACCTACGGCTGGCAGGCCCAGCATTAGCACTCCCCTAGAAACCCTTTCACCCCAACCTTCAGAAAACGAAAGCCCGAAAAAGCCCGAGAGGAGGGCGGGGTTCCGGGGGCTGCGGGTCGCCCTGGAGCGGGCATGCGCGGAGGCCGCGGCGGCCTGCGAGCCGCGGAGGAGCGGGGACGGCTCGGCCGGGGGAGCAGCCGCCTCGCCTGGACCCAGCTCGGGGAACTGACCCCGGCTAGCCAGCGCCCGCCCCGGCCTCCCGGCCCCACTTGCCGGGGGCTCGCGGGCCGGCCGAGCGGCAGGAGGGCCGAGCGGCGGCCGCGGGAGGGGCGGGGCGGGGCGCCGGCGACGGGTTGGCGGGCCGCCGGGGGCGCTGCGTACCTGGTAGCGGCCGGTGAGCAGCTGGCTCCGCGAAGGCGTGCACAGCGGCTGCGTGTAGTAGTTGTCCAGGAGCACCCCGCCGGCCGCCAGCGCGTCCAGGTGCGGCGTGCGGATGTTCGAGCCGTGGAAGCCCACGTCGTTCCAGCCCAGGTCGTCCGCCAGCACGAAAACGAGGTGCGGCGGCCGGCCGGCCCCGGCGCCTGTGCCCGGCGGGGCCGCCAGCAGTAGCAGGCGCAGCAGCACGGGGAGCACGCCGGGGAGGAGCGGCCGCCGCAGGCTGGGGCCTCGGGGCAGGCTCGCCGCGCCGCCCCGGCCCATCCTTCGCCGCCTACGGTGCCCGCGCCTGTGGCGCCGGCAGCCCCCGGCACCGCTTGTAGAATCAGGAACTGGGCGGCCGGGCCTGCCCCGCCCCCGCACGGGATTTCACCCCGGCGGGCGGCGGGCGGTAGAGGCCTGGCGCCGGAGCCCGCCGCCTCTGACCCGGGCCCCGGCCGGCGTGACGGGGGAGGAGCCGGCGGAGAAGCACCCGGTTCTCCCGCTGGCCCAGCTCCGCGGAAACTCCGTTGATGCTTGATGGGAGCCAAGATTCTTCTCTTTCCAGAGATGAACCTTGCATCGTAGCATCCTCAAAGAGGAGCAGATTTGATCTTTTTAGTAACTCTTCGCAATTTGCAAAACATTTTCTTTAAATTTCGCAACAAACTGGGCAGTTAGGAATTATAACGTACCCTCCTTTTTTTCAGAATCAAGAAGCCTGTAGTTGGTTGAGCCTAACCCAAACTCACATCCTGAGCCGTGATGTTTTAAAGGTCGTGGGGGAATCATTTCTAGCAAAAGAACTCAGACTTGTGCAAGTGGGCGGTGGATGGAAAGGCAAAACTCTAGGCGATGTTTCAGATTCATTTATGAATAGCATACGCCCGTGAAACCACTTCCTCCTCACTACCCAAAAGGGGGCTAAATACACACTCCGACTGCACGGTGTCCTTTTGAAGGTGCAGTTTTACTTAGGCTGCCCTGAGGAGTTGGGGGGCTGTTGCGTGACCATTAAGTAGCTCACTAGCTTGTCCAGGTATGAGCCTCTTCACGGCGGGCTCCGCGACACTCAAGTAGTGAGCCAAAGAAGTATAGTTTCTAACTTGCTTGAAATCATCTGAGGATGGAAGGAAAAAGTTCCCTTAACCACATGCTCACTGAATTGGGAAGTTAGCCTTACGACCACTGCCATCCAAAACTCTCTGCCTCTTCTAGTCTGGAGATAGACTGTAACTACAGTTATGGGGGCCAGGCGGTTATGCACCGTAGGATATATCCATTCAGGCTATCTGAATCTGATGCCATGGGAATTATTTCACAGCTTTATAAGTTGTGGATGACTGATAGCAATGGAAACTAATCCTTTTTTAAAAAACATTTTTAAATGTAAACTCAATTAACATATGATGTATTATTGGTTTCAGAGGTACGGGCCTGTGATTCATCAGTCTTATATAATATTCATTACATCACATGCCCTCCTTAATGTCCATCCTCCAGTTACCCCATCTCCCTCCAACAACCCTGTTTGTTCCCTGTGATTAAGAGTCTCTTATGATTTGTCTCCCTCTATGATTTTGTCTTGTTTTATTTTTTCCTCTCTTCCCCTGTGATCCTCTGTTTTGTTTCTTAAATTCCACATATCAGTGAGATCATATGATAATTGTCTTTCTCTGACTTACTTTGCTTAGCATAATGCCCTCTAGTTCCATCCACATGGTTGCAAATGGCAAGATTTCATTTTTGATGGCTGTGTAATATTCCATTGTGTATATATACCACCTCTTCTTTCTCCATTCATCTGTCGATGGACATCTGAGTTCTTTCCATAGTTTGGCTATTGTGGACATTGCTGCTATAAACATTGGGGTGCACGTACCCCTTCGGATCACTACATTTGTATCTTTGGGATAAATACCCAGTTAGTGCAATTGCTGGGTCATAGGGCAGCTCTATTTTCAACTTTTTGAGGAACCTCCGTACTGTTTTCCAGAGTGGCTGCACCTGCTTGCATTCCCACCAACAGTGTAGAAGGGTTCCCCTTTCTCTGCATCCTTGCCAACATCTGTCGTTTCCTGACTTGTTAATTTTAGCCATTCTGACGGGTGTGAGGTGGTATCTCATTGAGGTTTTGATTTGGATTTGTCTGATGCCGAGCGATCTTGAGCACTTTTTCATGTGTCTGTTGGCCATTTGGATGTCTTCTTTGGAAAAATGTCTGTTCATGTCTTCAGCGCATTTCTTGTTGGATCATTTGTTCTTTGGGTGTTGAGTTTGATAAGTTCCTTATAGATTGTGGATACCAGCCCTTTATTGATACGTCATTTGCACATATCTTCTCCCATTCTGTCGGCTGTCTTTTGGTTTTGTCAGCTGTAGAAACTAATTCTAGTTTATACATACGCCAATGACTTCTAGCCAGTGTAGTGACAATCCCCACCGCCCCCGTGGAAAACAGGTTTTGCCCCCACTTGCACATTTGTTTTAATATTCATGATCTGATCCTTGGGTTGTCCTTTGAACTAGTTTTAACACCTTACCAGTTTCCTCACTAGTGAATTAAATAAAATCTTTAACATGTATTCATTTTTATATTCATACAAGGGTTATGATTTTATCTTTTTTTTGAAAATTATCCTTTAGGGCGCCTGGGTGGCTCAGTTGCTTGGGCGACTGCCTTCGGCTCAGGTCATGATCCTGGAGTCCCGGGATGGAGTCGAGTCCCATATGGGGCTCCTTGCTCGGCGGGGAGTCTGCTTCTCCCTCTGACCCTCCCACCTCTCATGCTCTCTCTCTCTCATTCTCTCGAATAAATAAATAAGTAAAATCTTTAAAAAAAAAAAGAAAATTATCCTTTAACACATGGAGTGTTTTCCTTTTACATATAATTCTTTTTCTTTGCATGAAGTGGATTAGTTTATGACACATCCAAATTTAATCTCTAGTGGAATTTAGCAGGAAAAAATTTAAATTTAGCATTAAATTCAAAAGGATAATTTTGAAGAGCAGTTTGATTCTTATTAAGGCTTGAAATTTTTATTTAAAGACCCTGTAAGAGACAATAAAGCCTTGAGAATTCTCCACTATGGCTCTTGCATGTCCTTCCTCTCCATAACTGTTTCTCCCTACCCTGACAGAAATCAAATTGCCCAGGGGAGCCTGGGTGGCTCGGTCATTAAGCGTCTGCCTTCTGTTCAGGTCATGATCCCAGGGTCCTGGGATCGAGCCCTGCATCGGGCTCCCTGCTCAGTAGGGAGCCTGCTTCTCCTTCTCCCTCTGTCTACCACTCTGCCTACTTGTGCTCTCTCTCTCTGTCAAATAAATAAATAAATCAAATTGCCCAAACATGGCTGCTAACCTGCCGAAACAGTTCCTCCTTTGACCACCTGCTTCAGAAACTAGCTACACTTACACTGAGACTTCTCATATCCTGCATTTTTGAACAAAAATCTATGCTAATTGTGCTCTGGAAATGTGCACATGAGTTAGTTAAAAAGTTTATTTTTATGTATTGAACACATGATATGCGGTGCAGGCTAGTTATTATGAAGTCTCTCAATTGGACTTTGATATTTCCTGATGATTAGGCTCAGGGGATGGGTTTGTGCAGAAGTATCATAAAAGTGATATATCTTCTTGAGGCTTCATATTAAGAAGGACGTGATGTTGATTTATTATTTGATCACTTTGTTAAGGCAGTCATTTCTCCACTGTGAAGTTACTATTTTCCCCTTGGAACTACTCATTATTTTATGGGGAGATAATTTGAGAATACATTTATATTCTATTCTTTCTAAAACTTTGGCTTGTTTGTTTTAGCACTCACTGCTGCTTCTTGCTTTGATCTATTATCAGGATGGTTGCTGAATGGTGATTTTTTTTTTTTAAAGATTTTATTTATTTGATAGAGACACAGTGAGAGAAGGAACACAAGCAGGGGGAGTGGGAGAGGGAGAAGCAGGCTTCCCGCTGAGCAGGGAGCCCGATGCGGGGCTCGATCCCAGGACTCCGGGATCATGACCTGAGCGGAAGGCAGACGCTTAACGACTGAGCCACCCAGGCCCCTGAATGGTGATTTTCTAATTCCATCATCCCTTCTGTATTAATTAGTTGTCAAGTAGGGAAAAAGTTTGCCTTCTCTCCCATTAATTTGTTTATTTAAATCACTCAACTCATGGATTCTCATTTTAATCAATGTGCTTTACTATAATTATTTTGATCCTCAAATTTCCTTTGATTTGATCAGTGGGAGCCCCTTCAGTCTGGCTCTTGTATCCTTTTGGCATATTCTTTTCACCTTTGAACACTCCCTTACTTTTTGGTACAACAAGGTATTCTAGGTTCATCTTGTACTTTTCCTTCTCCAACCCTGGATTTAACCATTTCTACAAGGAACCCTCCCTGATTGCTTTCAGTGGAGGATGGCATCTAGAAACCAGTATCTGTGCTATAGTTGTGCTCATTGCTACTGGGCTGTCCTTATTTCCAGGATCTCTCATCAGACAAAGATAGGAATTAGATGTATAGATTCACTTAGGCATACATAAGTAGGTATATGTAGTATATTGATACATATGAATAGGTATAAAACCATGAGTTCATAGTGAATACCTCCAATTCTGCTTTCCCCCTTTCCATACTATATGGGTAGTACCAATTTTCATTGTTACCAGCCATTAAAGGTCATACTTTTTAATTTTTGCCAATCTGATATGAGAAATGATATCACAGGATAGTTTTTGGTTTTGCATTTCTCTTATGAGTAAGGTTAAAAATCTTTTGAGATGTGGAAGGGCTGTTTTTACATCACTTTTGTGAATTGTGTCATTTTCAACTGGTTTTGGTCTTTTCCCTCTCAAATTTAAGAGTTCTTTATGGACTAGAGATGTTACCTCTTTAACTGTGATATGTACCAGAAATATTTTCTACCAGTTTCTCAACTGTCAAATATTTTGTTGTGGTATTTTTTGATATGCCAAGTGATTTTTTTTTAATGTGGTCAAATATAGCAATTTTTTTATTGCCTTTGGATTTTGAGTCATGATTAGACTTTCCTTATACCAAAGTTAAAATAAAATTCACCCATGTTTTCTTCTAGCATGGTTTCAGTTTTCACATTTAGATCCCTGACCCATTGGCATTTATTTTTATGGATGACGTGAGATTTGAATCTGATTTTACCTTTTTCCAAATGGTTACCCAGTTCCTAGCATCATTTGTAAAGAAAATAAAGAAGTCTATCTCTGCCCCACTGCTATGAGATGTCACATTTATCATATGCTTAATTTTCTCATATATTTGAGTCTATTTCTGGGCTTTCTGTTCTATTCCACTGGCATGTCTGTTGACTCATACACCAATACCACACTGTTTCAGTTACAGAGGTTTTATAGTATGTTTTAATGTATGATAGGAATAGTGACTCCTCATAACTTATTTTTTAA